TTTGCTCTTGGGAATTTCTGGCGTCAGTATATCCAAATTTTTGGCGAGAGGAGAATGTAAAGGGGAAAATGTTGTGATTTGTTTTTCAGGCGGGAAAGTTTAGCTTCATTCAACTCATCATCTACATCGGCTCAACGCTGTCCTACTACGCCCTGGTGAGAGACCACACACATGTCCATTCATGCTTTTATCCTCCTTCAGGAGTGAGCACAGTGGGACTCAGTGTTAAAGTCCAGAGTGGGAGTGCAGCGCATGGAAAATATATTCAACTTCTTTGCAGATGCAGGGGAGCAACTATAAATATCAAAGGAAGCTAATTAATGCCATTAAAAAATCGAGAAGTTATCCATGATTTCATAAAATTTACATGATTTTAATCTTCTTAAATTGTATTAATTACTCACAGTAAAAAGTCAAAATAAGTTTCATGTGTAGAGTGTTTTTTTAACGTAAGACTTAACATTAGGAACATTTTTGTATGTATACTTTCACCTTAATTATAGTTTTATAACATTTTTACATGATGTTGTCATTTGAATGTCATGGTTACCTTATTATTTAATACATTTTAAGAACTTATTTAAAAACTTTTGACTGTCTTTTGACAGATTTTTAATTAAATTTTATAAAATTTTCAAAAAGTTAAAAGCTTACAATTCAAATATCCACAGTAAAAAAAAAAAAAGAAAAAAAGAAATTAAGTAATTTTAGTTTTGTTTACATATGGCAAGTGAACCTTTTAATTTGGCAAGAAAGGTTTGGTCATAAATGTGGGTTTTATGTCCAAATTGTAACTTTTTGACTTAATTTTGATTAAAACAACTTGATTGTATTTTGTATATGTCTAATGTAATTTATTGTATTTAGTGTAAAGTTCACGTTTACTGAAGGAAAGTGTCCCTCATCTCTATTTATGTGAAAGTCTGTCTTTCCGTCCAGACAACCATCCTGATCGACTGGTTGATTGGAACCAGCTGTTACTCTGCAGAGGTCGGTCAGAACTACTCTGAAAGGAAAGTGGAATCAATCCGAGATCAAGAGAAGATGAAGGTGTTTTGATTTGATTTTGTGTTTACTGCAGCTCTGAACCAGTGACAAAAAATGTAATAGATAATGTCATTAATGTTATTTCATGTGACCGTGTGTTGCAGTGCATCCTTTGTGTTTCCTACATTGATGAGAACAACCTTCGACTGGTAAAACGCTCACAAAAGAAAAGTTTACAGGTCATCAAACCGATGTCTGTTCAGCCACGTAAGGTAAACCTACAGAGCACAGAGTGCAGAAATCAAAGTGTAAATGAGGAAAATGTACAAAAAAAGATGCTTGATAGTAGCCTGCACATACAACCCTACAGAAAGAAACGGGAGCTGCTAATGGCTAATTCAACTGCTTTTAAATACACCATGTGAGCAAACCCAGATTATAAATGACAGCGAGATGAGAATAATATCTGTGCTCACCTGTAGCACATAATTCTTCTCTCACAGCAGGTCTTTTCTACTCCCAAAACACAAAGAGGTTGTAATTCATACTAGGGCTGCCATGATTAGTCGACTAGTCACG